CCTCAAACTAGAGTCACCCTTCCTCTGCACTGGATGCTGCAAAGCTTCTAGGATCTTCATTTCCTGATAGGGCATGATTTAAAATGAGAAAAAAATAGCTGCAAACATCAATTTGTAATCAGAATGTGCAGTGTCTGAGGTGTGAATCTAGAAAAATTGGAAGTTACCAAACATGAAATGGAATGCATACAGATCAATATCCTACATACTAATGAACTGAATTGGACTGGTACTGATCGTTTTGAGCTAGACAATAATATGGCTTACCATGCTGGGATTAACAAATTTCAAATTAATAAGAGATTCCTAAATATTATGGTTTATTAATGCTGATTTGTAATCTAAGAGATCCAATATTTGAAACTAGAAACAGAATGGTTCAAAGTGTAACAATTAATATGTTTACCTCTGAAAAAGACTACTTTTTCCTCGTTTAAGAATCATATTTGTTAAAACATCTATTAAGTTACATTTTTTATTTAAGTTGTGTAGACATGGAGAGCGTGTACATCAAAATGTTAATTGTGATTTATCTCTAGGAGGAAGAGCTGAAGAATGATGGAGCCAGGGCTCTTTGCTGTCTCATTTCTACACGACTCTCTTTCCAAGTGAGACCTTCTGTATGGATTTCATCTCTCCATAAAGAAAACTAAAATCCTCACAACTGGACTAACAGACGAGATCATGATAAAGAGAGAAAAGATGGAAGTTGGCCAGGATTTAATTTTCATTGGATCCACAATCAACAGCCATGGAAGCAGCTGTCAAGCAATCAAAAGATGTAATGTACTAGGTGACTAGACTACGGAAGACCTCTTTAGAGTGTTGTATCAGAAAGTCAAGATGCCACTTTGAGGACCACGGTGCACTTGACATATGCCTTGGTATTTCCAATATCCCTATATACATGCAAAAGCTGGACAATAAAGACCATAAAAGAACTGGAAGAGTCAGGAAGATCAGAGAAAAATCTATGTTCTTTGAGTTATAATGTTAGCCTTAATGGACTGCCCGAAGAATAAACAAATCTGTCCTCCAAGAAGTGAGTCAGAGTACTCCTTACAACTGAGAACACTGAGATTTCCTCTCACCTACTTTGGACGTGTTATCTGAAGGGATTCGTCTCTGAAGAAGGACATAATTCTTCGTAAGAAAGAGGACCTGTTAAAAAGAGGATAACCCTCGACAAGATTACAGTACCTGACACAGTGATTAGAACAGTGTGCTCAAACACAGCTAGGATTTTGCGGATGGTACAAGACTGGGCAGTGTTTTGTGTTGTGGTACAATGGGTCAGAACACAACAGACACCACCTAGCAACAATAACATATCTCTTTCAACTATTTATAAAAGTTGTGGACTATTTATAGAATACAATTAAGAACAGAATGAAAAGGAGATGTTCTGACAGTATGATAACCTTTAGTTAATCAGACCTTCCTTTACAGCTTTATATGTCTCCAGCATATAAATGATTCTGTTGACTCTTAAGACTGTTCCTCTTTTTTATGAAACGCCATTAGACATTGATGAGCCCTGGTGGCACAGGGGTTACAAGTGGAGATGCCGACCACAAGGATAGCCGTCAGAAACACTAGCCACTCTGCAGGAAAAGGACAAGGCTTTCTAGTTTTGTCAATAGCCTCGGTCTTGAAACCCACAGGGGCATTCTCCCCTGTTCTGTTGGTCACTTTGAGCCAGAAGGGACTCAGGGAGTTTGGCTTTCTAAGACATTTGTTTTAAGTCATGAATATGCCATTGATTATACTGCCAAGATTCTATTGACCCACTCAAAGCACCCAGCATGCCAGATAGCACACATTCAAGCAAGCAGAAAGAAAAAGAAACCCCACTTTCATCAAGTTGATTCATATAGAGAGCTCATACTAGATTCCAGGGGCTCTTTGTAAGAGCAGACACCTCATCTTTCTCCCATGGATGGACTGGTGTGTTCAACTGCTGACCTATGGTGAGTGTCCCAAGGCTTAACCTGCTGTGCCACCAGGACTCCTTCTAGTTCACATTAGCTCTCAAGAATATCATGCATTTCCATTGGTAGATTCTGATTCACAGCAAGCCTACAGAAAAGAGTGCTGGTAATCCCAAAGCCTTATTAGCTGCAGAGCTGCTTTAACCACTGTGCCACCAGGCCCCTTCAGTAAATATCTGCCTCCTTGATCCCATTCCCCGGTGACAACCATTTTCACTACAAAAACAGCATTGAGGTTTCTGCGTTTCAGGGGGTGCATTGACGTCACCTCTCTTTTTTTAGTAGTTTGGTCAATTCTTAGTTTAGTTTTGTTCGTTGCTGGGGTTTTGTTTCTGAGTTTTGGATTTGGGGGTGGGGGTGGGATTTGATCTATAAGCTGAGATCAGTGGGTAAAAAATGAGGCGTGAAAAACAGGCTTTTTATATTTAAATTCAAATAAGAAATGTGTCCTTTGTCTTTCTACTTACCAGAGAGCATTTGGAGAGAAGGTAAACACAGCTGCACGGAAACAGTTCTCAGAAACCCATTAAGGTGACTGATTTCAACCACTAATAATCCACTGGTAGGAACAAGTTCCTCCGTGCTACACAAGGACACTGCAAAACAGCTTGCCTACAGTAATGATTAAGACCTAATTACTAACTTAAAAATGCAGTTCATTGTGCAACTGCCTGAGGCATATTTCTCTGCAGCCTAGTCTACAGTAAAATTGGAAGAAATACCTTGAGTTCGTTTCCACTTCTTTAAAAAATGTAGTTATTGTTTGATATATATTTACATAAATATTTTGTAATTAGAAAAATAACCTGTGCACATCGTACAAATTCTTCAACATAAAAAACTTATTATTCTAAAAGAAACCCAATAGTATGCATAACGGAACTCTGGTGGTATGGTGGTTCTGAGTTGGGCTGCGATCCCCATGGTCGGCAGTTCTGAACCACCAGTAGCTCCTCTGGAGAAAGACTGGTTTTTCTACTCCTGTAAACAGTTACGAAAGCCCACAGGAGGTCGCTTTGAGTCAGCATTGACTTGATGGCCGTGAGCGATAAGGTCCATCATTTAACTCAAATGATTATGTTGATGTCACTGCCCTGGTTTTTATCATGCACAGTGATCAAGCCACCCAGCCTCATCCAACTCAAGTCCCTGGGTCAGATGCTAGCTGCAGGCCCCTCCAGACTCACACAACTGCTAACCAATGAAGCAGAAAGGCAAGTGGGAAGCTGGGAGATCATAGGCCAGAGGCGCAGAGTCTGTGGGGCCATGGTCAACAGGAACATGGCAGGAGGCCCACAGCTCCCAGGGTTTGTGTGCCACACGTGTCACTGGCCCCAGAAGCCAGATGTAGGATCCTAGCAAACAGGAAGAAGAGGGGCAAGAGAAAGGCCAGCTCTCCCTTGTCTCTAATAAAGAGGCCAGTCACTGAAGGAGACATCATCCGGCTGTGACCTAACCCTGTGAGGAAGGCTTACTGCCAAACCACAGAGAATCCCAACCAGGTCAAGTTGACAAACCTGTCACAGACAATCTCAAGAGTTCTTAACATCAATTGTATTCTGAATCATAATATCTCTATAGGGCAGGGTAATACTGCCATTATATGTTTGCAAGGTTGTCAGTCTTTATTGCAGCAGAAAGTCTCAGCTTTCTGTCCTAGAGAGGCTGTGAGTTAGAGCTGCTGATCTTGGGGTAAGCAGCTCTTAGAACCCCCTAATCTCAAACATCATTTCAAGAAAACATGTATGAGGTCTTAAACATGACAAAGACAAATCCTGCATCTGGATGCAGGAGAGCATTAGAACAAGGTCAAAATGGAGCCCAAGGATTCAAAATCAGACAGCCACTTAAATAGGAGATGGAGAATAAAGGAAATTGTCACAAAATCATGACTGGTGACATATCAATACATCACAATCTCAGGTGGGCCTACCAGAAGTAGGAAGAGAATCAAGATGGAGCACATACATTATGTTAGACAGGAGAGCTTGCTGGTGTGGTCCTGGGCCTTCCTACCAAGACCACCTGTGCACTACTAATGGGACATGACTCATGACTATGCAACCCTGAGCCCAATGATCCCCATCAAGGACACACCAGGCAAGTCCTTAGTTAACTGAGACTGTCCATGCTTGGATTGGCTGGAGGCCATCTATTTTCCAATGCACTCTTCCTGGGGGCAAGATTCTCTTCCTTGGTTAATGGTCAGAAGGAATTCAGCAGAGGGTTAATCTACCTTGAGGGCTCTGCAAATGGATTTGGGCTTTCACTGGTATCCATTACATTCACCCTCAGTGCTATCCAGTCCCTGCGGACTCACAGTGATCCTATAGGACGGGCTAGAACTGCCTCTCTGAGTTTCTGAGACTAACTCTTGACGGGAGTAGAAAGCCTCTTCTTTCTCTCACTGAGTGGCTGGGTTGGAATTGGTGACCTTGCAGCACAAGGCGTAGCCGCACTACCACGGAGGATCCTTAGCTGTTAGCCAGAGCTTTCTGTAAACCAGGTGCTCTGAGTTTAGGCTCCAATACACAACCCAAAGCGTAATTCAGCAGCCACCAGGACTCCGATAACTAGTTGTATTAAAAAAGGAAAGAAAAGAAAAGAAATAGCAAGGTGCACAAGTACTACAGTGTGATGTCTGGGAAACACATCACGGATGGTCTAGAGAAAAGATTGGTACTCTAAGGATGAAATAGAAGGCAAAACAGAAATGCATTTCCAATTGTTTTAAATATATTCCAACAAGAGCTCGAAGTTCAGAAGAGTGGGAGATGTTCCGGTTCAGAGTCGCGGAAGGGCCTGTAAAGAGGAAGGCCAGCAGAGAGAGAGAGGCCTGTCCTGGCCACAAGGTGACCTCTTTCTCTGCGTGCAGGGAGGGCGCTCACACACTTGAGCCCACGTCCTTGAAGGGGATTGAACGAGCCAAGGGGAGGGGTAGGCCGTGCTCGGGTTTCCAATCACAATAAAGAAACCTAAGAGGCTGAGGAGAGTGTGCGGCCCCGCCTCCTCCTCTCTCTCTGCAGATCCTGCGCCGGAGGACACAGACGCAGCTGCCAGCCCACTTCTGGTCCTCGCTCCCCTCGCCTTGCTGCCTCGAGCGACTTCCCTCTCTTGGTAGGTACCCACCCTGAACCCTGAGTTCAAGACTCAGGGTGGGATGTGCAGGGAGGCCTTGTGCTGCAAGACCCGGGAGGGACCCAAACTGGCATGTGTTCTCCGCTTCCCCGCGTTAGCCTTGGGCATCCACTCGGGTCCTGACTCGGCCGCCCGGCGCGGGAGGTGGGGCGCAGGCACGGGGTGGGCCCCTGACCTTGCACCGTCTCCCCGGGCCTCGTCTCAGGCGGGTGTGCTCTCGGAGAGAAACTTGTTGCATCCGCGGCTAAACCCGGGCCCTACATGTCCTTGACGGTTCATGGCGGCCACTTCCATCACCAGTGCCTCGTGGCCACGGCCGGGACACGCGCCCAAAGAGCCAGGGACCCGAGAGGGAAGGAGGTGCTCCTTTGAAGTCTGGCGGACGTGAACCCGGGGTTTGAAATTGACCTCGGTGGGGGACAAATGCCCTCAGCGGTTGCGGGATGAAGGCAACGCGCCGGCTGATGTACCGGGCTCGTCGTGCCCTCCCCCTCCCCCTCCCTCCCCAGGCTCCTCGGCTACAGACACGGCCCCTCCTGAAGCTGAGGCTGCTCCTTCAGGGCCTCGCGTCTCGATCCGCCTCGGCGGCCGCCTTGTTTACTTTGCCAGCGCCGGGTAAAGAGGCCCAATATTTCCCCAAAGACCTTCTCGCGGAGATGCGGCGCTGGCTGCAACCTCCCCCGGGACTTGCCTACTCCGCGTGCTCGCGCCCGGAGGCAGAGGTGGCTGTGGGCGGCGAACTTCGAGAGCTGCCGTTGGTACTGGGAGGGGATGCGGAGGAGAAAGCTGGCACTGGCCTGGGTGGAGGAATTATGTGACAAAGCATGGGTGTTTTAAAACGTTAAGACCTGACATATCCTGCAAAGATGATCTTTATTTCTGAGTTGAGGACGCTGCTTAATTTCTAATGGTTTATCCATATAGGGTGGCGGGGAGTGTATAAAAGACCAAGATTGTTAGCACACTGCTTGTCAGTCGTGTACCTTACAGCCACCAGCCCCGCCTTAGCACTGTAGCACACTATTTTCTTCGAAATTCTTATGCCTCCTAATAAAAACAGAAAATAGCACTTCTCGCCCCCCTTAAAAAAGATATGAAGGAAAATTGGTATTGTCTAGACTCTTGAAAAATAAATTTCTAAAAATCCCCAAAATTCATCCCAAAGGTCTTTCTGAACAGCTAGTCTATATTTACATAGCAATTATCTCTGGACTGTTGCTTTGAGTCCCCTGTAATACTAGGGCTATTTGAACCATACCAAATAACCTTGAATGGAAAGAAGCTACTACACACATCTCCTCAGTAAGAGAAGCTGCAGCATTCTTTCCATAGATTCTGCTCGGGATGCAGGTCATATGTGAATTTCACTGCAAGGTCATCTATTTGGAGAAAGTTGCACAACCTTGTGTGTTTCTTTTTACTGTAGCATCCACAAAGAAAACGAAATATGCTCCCTAAGCAAAATTATTTTGTTACTCTCCTGGAAATCTAGTCCCTACAGACTGAGATGAAATTGTGTTGGGGGTGAGTGGTAGGGCAGAAATAGCTATTGCAAAATAGCTGTTATACAAAGTCGTGCAATTTTTCCAACCTCCAAGCCATAGGAATTCTTACTTAGCTTATACAATTACGAACCCAGCTTTTGTTGCCTAGTTATTGCAGGTTAGAACCCAAAACAAAACCAAAAAGCAAGACACTCTTGGAAAGTATAAAGTGGCTTCACAATTGTTAGCATCAGAAGTAGGTAAAATGCTCGTTGTAATGTTAAGCAGTGATTCTTAGTTATCATTTAATTAATATATTGTTAATTGCAATGTAAGCCATTGATTCTTAATCAAAGAAAAACCTATTTAATATCATTATCCTCTCTGTTTAACAAGACTAGTCAGTATTTTTGGATACTGCATTGACATGGAATTGATCATTGAAACTCAATACCTTTGCCATTTCTTTTAGTTACTGAGAAGATGCACCTGATTAGCTGATGGCACAGTAGATTTGGTATTGATTACTGTATGGGGTGCTTTCCAATTGGTTATAGTTGTTTTGGTTTTTTAAACTAAAGTTTTACTTTTGACGGTTGCAAAGAAAGGGATTCAAAGACTAACGTTTTCCTAATGTGACCCCCTCAAGGGAAAACATTGTATTAAACACCTGCCTATCTTCTGATAAGCTTCCAAGATGCACTGAAAATAATTGAGAGTAATTTTTAAAAGACTGTATAGTCATAATAATCATCATTTTATTTTCATTACACTTATTAGGCACAAGTTCTATGTAGAGGAAACAATGGCACCTTGTAAGTGAACGTTAGAGAAGACGAACCAGTCAATGTCTTTCTAGCATACTAATAAACAGTAGAAGTGTTAGTCATAGAAACTACATCTAACTGACCACTACATTGTTCTTTTAGATCAGCTTACATATGAAACTTAGTTTACATAGTTACAGTTAAAATCCATATTGGAAACCAGGCGTGGGGGAGGTTGGGAGTCAGCTGATTTAAATGGAAACATTTCTGTCTTTTATCCAATAGGTGAACAGCCAAGGACAAAGTAGTTATAACCTATTAAATATGAAATTGTAAGAAACACATAGCTCATATTTTAATGAACTTCACAGAGATTTTTAACCTTAATTGAATCCCCTCTTAAATTAGGTGATTTTCTTCTTTTTTTTTTTTTAGTGTATATCCTGTATGGTAGAATATCACCAGGCTTAGTGTAAATTCCTTTCGTTCCCAAATTGCAGTTGTAACCTTTTAAGAAAAAGTCATTTTATTTTTGCAGTTCAGGATGGCAACTCTTAAGAACAAGCTGATTGCACCGGTTGCAGAAGAAGAGGCCCTGGTTCCTAACAATAAGATCACTGTGGTCGGGGTTGGACAAGTGGGTATGGCATGTGCCATCAGCATTCTGGGAAAGGTAAGGACAACATCTAATAAGGACCATTTCAGCATGTGTGAATCGCCTATTTAGGCCCTTTAGATTTTATCCTCTCTTATAAAACTTTTTTTTTCTGGGTCATTTGAAATAAGCTGCAGACATTGTTATACTTCTCCTTGAAATAGTTGTGCATGATACGATGATATTCTATTATGTAACCAAAATAGTGTTACTGTGCTCGGGATACAATATTGTGATCTCATACATACCAGTTGTCATCCAGTCAGTTCAGACTCACAGCATCTCTGTGAGTGGCAGAGTAGCGCTGTGCTCCAGAGGGTTTTCAGTGACTGGTTTTTTTGGAAGCAGATCACCAGCCTTTTTCTGGGGTGCCTCTGGGTGTAACTGAACTTCTGCCCTTGTGGTTTGCACCACCCAAGGTGTCCTCCTATCCAGGATCCAGTCCAGGATCCATTCTCCAGTCACAAAGTTCTCTGTTGATTCCACTGATGTCCTTTTTGGCTGTTTTCACCCCCAATTCAAGATCATGTAGTCTACAGTGAACCCTCGTTTATCGCGGTTAATCGGTTCTAGACCCTACTGTGATAAATGAAATTCCGCGAAGTAGGGTTCCTTATTTGTAAATCAAATATTTTCGTAGTTAGAGCATAGAGGACATGAAAAAACACCCTTTAGTCACCATTACACTCGTATTACCCAATTTATTAAACGAAAAAGGGAAAATGCAGTAAAACATTTTGGATGTTACAATTATCATTTATTATTTATTATATTATGAAGTACAACGGATGGAGCGAACGGAAAACTCATTCAAGTCGAAATGGCGTGCAACCTCCACGAGTTTCTTGCCATCTTTGATCATATCCAAAAATATTACCTTTTCCTGGATGGTGAGCATCTTCCTCTGGCGCTTATTTTTATTGTCAGAAGGCTTAGAAGAAGCAGCTCGTTTAGGAGCCATCATAGGGCTTAGATAAAATTTCTTAAAAATCGCAAACAATTACAGTACACTGTACAAAAGCAAAACTGCATCTGATACGTAGCTCCGATACGTAGCGATGCAGACAGAAGCGTGTACAGTATGAGCCAATCAGTGGCAGTAATGACAGAGCATGCGCTGTTACGCAAAAACCGCGATAGAGTGAAGCCGCGGAGGTCAAAGCGCGAAGTGGCGAGGGTTCACTGTACATACTTTTCATGTCTTTATTTTCTAAGCAGATGTTGTTGTTCAACATTTGTTTCTCATGTCATTGGCCCTTTTGAGGAATACAGTATCCTTTTTTTAGTTTTTGATGTTTCATTATGATTAGGTTGATGTAGAAATACATACAACTAGGTGATTTCATATCATTGGTGCATCACATATGGAGACAAAATGTTCAGCTCCGATAGGTGGTATTTAATTCATCTACCAATTAGGGTGCTTTCTCCATTGTGTAGTAGGTCCTTCCACCTCCTGTAATGAATAAGCAATCTATGAGCGGGCTTTTTCCCCCCTGGAGCTATCCTCTGTTATACCTCAAACTTTGACCCAATAATTTTACTTTGAAACTTTTAGGCAGAGAGGATTTGCAAGAATAGTGAAAAACATAAACTTTGCCTATACCTTCCCCCAGATTTTCCAGCATATAAACCACGCCCTTACCTACTCACAGCACAGCTACCTGCAGCAGGAAAGGTAATGCTGGCACCTGCATCGCCGTCCACTTTTCAAGACTATTCACATATTTGCCGTATGTACCTCTGCAGACGTTTGCCATAGCTTATGTCTACTTCTTATGGTTCTAACTAATGCTAGTCCACCAGGACTTTTGAGGAAAGAAACCCTTTTCTTGTTCGCTTCACTGAGTAGGGTCCTTGTTCTTTCTGATGGCTGCCTCACTGTAGGAGCCGGCTGCCCTGATTCAGTGGAGCACACTGCCCCTTTGTGTCACTTGTGAAGGCAGCCTGGAGAACTCCCAGCCGAGCATATTTCTGTTTGCAAAGTTAATTCTAAAGGAACAAATTCTGAATCTTCACTGAGAAATAGTTTGCAAAAAAAACCAATTCATACATGGAGTGTACACCAGAAACAACAACAACAAACCATTTTCTTCTTTTGCATTTCTTCTATTTAGTTTTAATGGACTAGATACCCCAGCTTTGGGATACCTGCCTTCCAAACTGCAGGGGATTAAAATAATCACAATTTGATGCTTCACACTGATAAACACAAAGCTTGCTCCAGCTCACATTTCTTTCTTTCTTTTATTGAATGCTAGCCATATCCAGTGTTTTTAAAATAAAATGCTTCATTTTAAATGACAACCTAAGAGATCAGGGGTTGACACAGTCTTTTCAGGTCAGGTAACTGAGGCTTAATGAGATTGAGTAACACAGTCACATAGCTGGGGGTAATATTTTGAACCCAGAGCTCTGAACTCCTTTTTTTATTATCAGTTTTATTGGCACATAATTCACATATTATAAAACCCAGTAGTTCACTCACATCAAAAAGAGTTGCACAATTTTCACCACAATCAATATTAGAACATGTTCTTCATTCTTGCACTCCTTGTTACTAGTCCCCCGTGTCCCCCCAACCTCCCCTGCCATCCTCCCAAGGAATCATGAATCCACTTACTCTTTATACATTTACTTATCCTGGATTTCATATACAGGAAAAACATCTTTTAAAAAAAAACTAATAACAAAGTAAAACAGGTAAAAATCTCAATCAAAAGGATAGCAGAAAATATTAAAAACTAAAGCAAATTTATAATCGAGGGAGATCACCTGATGAGGAATGTGCTACATTTTAACCCAACTGCATCTGCTGTAGTCTACTTTCCAGTACATTCTGCACGATAGCAAGGCTGTTCACATCCCTGGTCCATGGTCAGAGGGATTCACCAGAGGCTTCATCCACATCTATTTATTTCCCTTTCATTTTTATTTACATTAAACTGAAACGACCCTAAAATGGGCCCAAAGGGAGATCAAATGATAACATTAAATTTTTACCTGTGTCTGCTATAATTGACATTGCAATCCTCTCTGAAACAAGGCTATTCACATCCCTCAACTCTGCTCTAAGGTGATTCACTGGAGTCTTAATCCACATGTGGACACCACAGATGGATTTTGGGCTTCACCTGTCATCCATAGCATCTGCAAACCCTAGTGCCCTGCAGTTTTATTATTACAAGCATACTTTTTGGATTGCACTTTGCTTTATTGCTCTTCACAGATCATTGTGCCCTTTAAAAAAAACTTTCCAACTGAAGGCTTGTGGCAACCCAGCGCCAAGCAAGTGGATGGGTGCCCTTTTCCAGTCGGAGGTGCTCATTTTGTATCTGGGCGCTGGTGGTCGCCGGTAGGCACTGGGTTGCGGTGCATAAGGTCTGCAGTTTGGAACTGTGGGCTGCTGGTCAGGAAAAGGGCGGGCTGTCCTGCAGAGGGCTGCCGTCCTGGCACTCACAGGGACTAGAGTGCTCCTCGGCCTTCTAGGCCCCCCAGGGGGTGGCACAGACTCCATGGCAATGGGTTTCGTTTTGGTATTTTTGGTTTGGTGTCCCGTTTTGGTCATTCTTAATGATATTTTAAACTTTTTCATAAGGCTGTTGTACATTTAATAGATTACAGTAGACTGTAAACATAATTTTTATGTGTACTTTGGGAACCAAAAAAGTTATGTGTCTCACTGAATGGTGATACTTGCATTATTATAGGGACTTGGAACTAGACGTGCAATATTTCCATAGTGTACCTGTATTAGAGTTCTAGGCTAGTATTTAAAACGCACTGCCCTCAATTCAGTTTTGTCGCAGAGTAGAACTAGCCCTGTGGATTTTTGAGGTGACATTTAAGGGAGTAGAAAGCCTTGTCTTCCAAGGATGACTGAGGGTTGCAAACTGCTGACCTTGCAGTTAACCCTACAGCTCACCACGAACCCACCGGGATTCAGGACCAGTGGTGTGAGTGGCGATACTGGGAGGGTAGAGGGAGAGTGGGTAGGAAGGAGGGAACCGATTACAAGGAACTATATGTGACCTCCTCCCTGGGGGACAGACAACAGAAAAGTGGGTGAAGGGAGATGTCGGACATGGCAAGATATGACAAAATAATAATTTGTGAATTATCAAGGGCTCATGAGGGAGGGAGGAGCGGCGAGGGAGGGGGGAGCGGCGAGGGAGGGGGAAAAAAGGAGGACCTGATGCCGGGGGCTTAAGTGGGGGGAGCAAATGTTTTGAGAATGATGAAGGCAATGAATGTACAAATGCGCTTTACACAATTGATGTATGGATGGACTGGTAAGAGTCGTATGAGCCCCCAATAAAACGATTTTTTTAAAAAAGCACCTTTAAGCAGCTAACTAGAGAGTTTTCTTCCTGCTCATCTCCAAATACAGACTATGATGGCTGAGTTATCGTGATTTGGGAAAGTGTTGTCCTTTTGATCGTGGAAGTAAAAGTTGCTCCAGTGAATAAGGTAGCTGAGTCTGCATCTGAAGTTGTGGAATGCTTAGGCCCAACCCAAGTGCCGAGAGGCCATACCCTGCTGCGGACAGCAGGGCACCTTCAGAGGCAGCCTGTGATTGTGTTCCCAGGGGGACCGACCTTCCTTCTTATCACGTGGCACTGTGGGAGTGTACCAGATTAATAATGTTTTTGAATCCGAAAACAATGCAAGAAGGAACGGCTATTGTATTAGACCATTGTACTGATGAAAAATGTCTAAGGCGTGTTTTAATAGATAAAGACTAAAATACTTGTAAATTGTTATTATTAGTTGGTAGGATTCAACACCTACTCGGTTTAAAAATAACAAAAAAACACAGTTGCCAAGTTAGTCGCCTCCACGTGTGTCTGAGCAGAAGTGTGCTCCGTGGGGTTTTCGGGGGGTGATTTTGCAGGTGTTGCGTGCTAGGCCTTTGTGCTGGGGTGGGTCTAGGTGGGCTTTCACTGACCACCTTTCCACCTTCCGTGCTGCTTGCAGCACCCAGAAAGCTAGCAGTCACTGCTTGCTGCCAGGCGTTTGTGTCTGACCACGTTATTTCCCCTGAAAGTTATCGGGGGAAGAGGCATCGTGGCCTCCCTGTACCACTGTTGAAAAAAGACACGTGGGTTTTGTGATTTGGTCAAGATCACACCAATAATGAGTGATCGAAATGGCGTTTCATGTCTGTAGCTAGTCTCGCTTTTCGAGGGCAGACATTGCTCTCAGAAAACAAGTTATGACAGGACTCGTTAGAGGTAACGTTGAGAAGACATATGTTTTATCCAGGCTCTTGAAGGCATGTGAGGCTCGATCCTGCCATTTTGAAGAAGACTCAGTCCCTTACTTCTGCTCCTCGCCCCCCCTCCCCAGCCCCCCCACGCAGTAATCATAGCGAGCATTTGTAATCGCAGAAGCTCCCCGACTGGTCGGAGTCGTTTCCATGTGCATCTCCCATATCATTCCCTGCCTTCCCTCGGTCAGGGCAATAGAGCCCACAACTCCAGGAGGCCGCATCCAAAGCAATGTAATTTCACAAGCAATGGAACGTCAACTTTTACCATGTTCCCCTTTTCTCCAAAAAATCAAACGTGTTTACTTCACTTAAAACCCTTTACCTACTTTTCCTTTTGACTGGCGTGTTTTCCCCTGGATTTTCACAGAGTTGGTCTCTGTCATTCAGGCCTTACCAAAAGGTCACCACTTTTCAGACAGGCCTTCCATTATCATCTGTCTTACTCCTAACTCACACATCCCCCTGCAGTACTTTGCTTGAAGCCATCCTCATCTGGTTCCTTAATCCCACTGTATCTGATGAGGTCAGGGCCAGCAATAGAATCCTAACTAGTATTTGGCATATTGAACAATAAATATGTACGAAATAAGTGAATCCCTTTAATAATACTAATAAACTGCATCGATGTTTGATGGGCATTGATCATAGCTGTTGCTTGGTCATGGTTTCTACCATCCAATATGACTTCTGCTCTACTACCGTTCACAGTAAGGAGCCCTAGTGGCACACCGGGTTATGTGTTGGGCTGTTTACAGCAAAGTCAGAAGTTCAAGGCCACCAGGTGTTCCACAGAAGAAAGATGAGACTTTCTGTTTGCAAAGATTATAGCCTCAGAAGTTCTAGGGGGCAGTTCTAATTTCTCGTGAGGGTGACTATGAGTGAGACTCCACTTGAAGGCAGTGGGTACTGCTCAAAGCCTACATTGTAACAACCTAGGGAAAAAAGTCTGAAGAGTGATGTCACCATATTGTCCTAGTTGTGCAAATATTCCATGCCAGTGAATAAAGCCCCCGCGTCCATGTGTCTTTGGGCCCGGTGTCAAGCTCTTGTGATACGAACTTGGCATAAGAATGCTCTTATGCGGCATGTTGTAATTATAGACACCCTGTAAAGTAGTTTCTGCAGGCGAGAACTTGACATGAAAGTTAGACTTAATTAAGAATTTTGTATTTGTATAAGAATCTAGACAGATTATTAGAAGAAATTGAAAGCTCAGAAACAAGCCCCAATTATATTTAATAATAATAAGTTCAAAGTGGCATTTTTGAGTATGGGACTCTTGAATAAATGATGCTTGGCGGCTTAATTACTTCAAAGTGTTATACTTCTCTTCTGTAAATGAATATATGCACTTCAAGATAAAATGCAGCCATCGATATCAAGGTATAAATGTCAGTAATTTATTAGCCAAGAGGAATAGGAAGCCAAAACTATAGCTATATCTTAAAAAAAACAAACAAAACCAGACCCCTTGCCCTGGAGTCAACCCTGACTCATAGTGACTGTCGGACAACACCGAACTGCCCTGTGGGTTCCCGAGACTGTTTATGGGAGTAGGTGCCCCACCGCTCCCGAGGAGCAGCCTGGTAGTTTTGAACTGCTGACTTTGTGGATCACAGCCCAAGATGTAACCACTTTGCCACCAGGGCTCCTTCTTAGCTATATCGAGTGCACGTTAAACGTCATACCAAAAGGCACTTTTGTAATGTGTTAAACAAGGGTTTAGTCTGCCTTCTAACTGCCTTTGCTCACTTGGAATCAAGAATAAGATGCCTGCCGTTATGGCTTCAAACCATTGAATTATATTTAGAGCCTAACAAAATATGCAACTTGCGAATTCACAGGCCTTGGAAGATGGGAACGCGGTAGCATCAGTACGCAGTCATGTGCCTTCTATATTCTTTATTAGTGCAACTGCAGCTAAATTCAGCGCTCCAAGTTTTTTTTGTTTTTTGTTTTATATTGGATCGCTTCCTTCCTTACCAACTGAATACACATTTCTCAGCCAATTCTCTACACCCACTGAAGTAAAGAGACAGGATCTGAGTTACTGGGACATCCTTTCCCACCTAAGCCCTACCTACATTATTTTGCTCTGTGGATTTCAGCACCATGCATGTGATGTGACTAAAATAAGAATGACATTCCTGGTGCTCAGTACCTTGACAGCACTCTATGGCTATTAAGGCATATATTGGAAAAGCATCAAAGGCTGTTATACGTCAAACAGATACCCCGCTAATGCCATTGTGTGAAAGCAATAGTTCACTCGCAAGATGGTCCTTTCAGAAGTTCACTTTTAAGTCCGTTGCTTAGGACCCACAACCTCTAGTCAGAGGCAAACTTTCATCTTAGAGGAGCTCTTGCAAGCAAGCCTGTGGCAGCTCATCTCAAATCTGCCCGCCCCCTTCAGGAAGCAAGACCTGCCGTAGCTGGCGTGTTAAAGTAGGTCACGTTTCCTCATTGGCTGTCCCACCTTCCCCTCTGCTTCTTGCTCTTCTCCTGGCAAGTCTCCTTAGTCTGCTCTAGGCTGTGCTGCGTGGGCTTCAAGTGCTTCCTGAACCCCCGATCTCTGCTTTTCTTCCCTAACAATATCGTTCATCTGTGTAGCTGATCGCTCATAAGACTGCCCTTAGAAAGAGATTTGGATGTTAAGGGTGCTCCAGTTTTGATACTATGTTTCTTCTCATCTACTCTATTCTGTTGATTATTTTGTTAGCCCTAAAAGCAGTGAAAACCCAAGGCTCAAGGAAGGGTGGCCATTTTGTAAAGAGTTGGGCAGTCCAGGACTTCCATAAGATCACTGAATTTCAAAGCTGGGAGTTTGAGTAGGTCCATCTCTCTTAGCCCCCTCGTTTTAATAAGAAGAAAAGATCAAGGACTTGCAGAAGCACACACGAATACTGCAAGGAGAAGCCACAGTTTTGGCTTTCCCTCCCACGATTCATGTTGGAGATTCTGAAAATACTAATGCTCCATCAAGCTTAAGTAGATAATTTATTTGGATAGTGTTTTTATTTTGGGTGTGGGGCAGAGAATGACAGTCGAAGTATAAAACAAGTATTACAGACTCAATCCCAGACTGGTGGCATGTGGAAAGTTTACCAGTCAGGCCCTCGCCTGTCCATGAGATGCTCCTGGTCCTGACAAAGGTGTAGAGGTTGATCCAGAGCATGTTGAAGATTGCAAGCTCTACCCTGGGCTCTGATTCCTACTCTCAAGTGAACTTGAACCCTTGGGGATTTAAACCAATCTCTTCTCTCAGGCCCCTTCAATGAGAGGGTACCTTAGGGATGGGATGGGCAAGCCTTCCCAGTGTGGTTTCTTCAACCCTCTCTCATTAATGTAAAAATTTCTGCACCATGGAATGCTGTTGAATTAATGTGGTTTTGAAAAGAATCTTGTCTACTTATAAAAGCATAGTTTGTTCTCATTGAGTCCTATGAAATCTGAAAAATTGGTGTCATAAATATTAGCAGCTCATCTCTGAAGGACCTATATTGTCAAATGAGCACACTGAAGTTTGTAGACGTTCGATGTATATAACCCCTTTTAAAAAGACATTAAAATAGATTGTGTGGAGCAGCATTTAAAATGGTTTAGTGTCCTAACACCTGTTTTTGTGTTTAAAGTCCCTGGCTGATGAACTGGCCCTTGTGGATGTTTTGGAAGATAAACTCAAAGGAGAAATGATGGATCTGCAGCATGGGAGC